AATTATAATTCATATATAATGCATACACAATTCACTTTTAATTCATATTACAAATTTAATATATTATTGCTATAAAATGATAATAAATAAAAAAATATCATTAAAAATAATAATAATTTATTAAAAATGTACTAATTCATCTAATTTTTCCAAAAATGGATATAATTAGTGAAAAGGTAGTTAATTTAAAAATTACAACCTTGACTAATATATTGTAATCATTGAAGACTTATCAAGATAGCTGATGCAATCATCCTTTCTTCAAAATAATATATACAAATGAGTATGACAAAGTTGTGTTATTATGTGACTAAAAAGTAGTACAAAAAGTTTAAATTTTATGTGCACTAGTATATAGGCATGAATCCGAGTAATATAAATAGATTCAATATTTAAACTTTATTTTTCTATAAATTTATTTTTTCAGAAAGATTGTTTCAAACATTTCTTAAGATTAAAGATTGACTTAAAAAAAGGTAATCGCATAATAAGATTCATTAGTTGAAGTAACTAAGACTTATTTCAGCAGACAAGGTAGTAGAAAAGTCACAGTGAGCAAGACCATAAATGAATGAACATTCTTCTTTCTTGTTATGAGCCCAACCCAATTTAGATATTGAAATCTGGCCCACAATAACACTTTCAGAATGAGTAAACATAAGTGGAGAAATTTCCCACTAGATTTGCCTAAATAAAGTTAATGGTACAAAGAGTGACATATATATAAAAAAGAGAAAGCATTATCCAAAATTAGTAAAACACTTAGCACCCATTTAAGCAAAAAAAGGTTGAAAGAAGAAGCACACAACAAATCACCTAGACAATTCAGAATCTTTAAGAATCCACTTTCTTTTTTATACACTGATTCACTACTTTCATTTCCATCATTTCTCAAAAAGTTTATACCCTTTTAGGCCTCTCAAAATCTTCCTTATCGTCTCTGTCTATCCGTTTCAATTTGTTTGACTTAATGATCATTTCAGTTTTAACTTTTTACTTCATATATTTAAAATTTTAAGATTAAAAAACATTTTAACATGTTTAATATATTTAATTTTTTTGTTTTATCGAATCAAAATAAATCAAATAAATTGAAATATTTTTGAATATCAATAAACCATGGTGAGGGGGGTGGGGGTAACTGGAGTGGATCCCACTGATATATAAGTCCAAAGAAGCAAGGCCAAAGGAACAGAAAGAGTCTACACATCTTCTCTCATCCACACTATCCATTATGGCCCTATTCTTGGTCTTAATTCTTTTAACTTAGAGTCCACCCAAAGAGATTAGGATTCAATGTGAGATGGGATTTTTTTTATTCAAAAAAAATGTATCTTTTTGTTATTTGGAAAAAAAAAACTTGAATTTTTAAGGTGAATCTCATTCTGGATGTTGGTATTTGTACTCCTTTCGTTAGTTGTTAAGTGACCATCTCTATTGCTTTTTTCTTTGTTTTTTTCAGGTGGATCTATTCAAATAATTGGTCTTTGTAAAAATATAATCTTTTTTACTTTTCATTTTGGCTCTTTCTTTGACTAGATGTTCTTCATTTTTCTTCTACCCTCATTCTTGAATTGATAATTAGTTGTATTGGGGAAAGGAAAATTAGTTGAAGAGGAAGAAGTAAAGTGGGGTTGGGATGTTTGGGTCTGGCATGAATCTGATAACCACAATAATTGGTTTTGGGATGAGTGCAACTTTTATTGTGTTTGTCTGTACTAGACTGATTTGTGGTAGGATAAGCAGGAGGCAATCAAGGCAAATGTTTGAAATTGAATCAGGGATTGATCTTGAACAGGTAGGTTTTGCTTAAATTACTATTTATTCTTAGTTCCTAGTCAATGTTTATCAAAGTTGTTGATTCATTCAAGAAGATTTTTCTGATTTTGTAGATAATTGTGTTAGAGCTACAACTGTTTAGTACTTAGTCCATTTGTTTATTCTGTTTTGGTTTTGTGTAGAATGATTTAGGATTTGATGTTTTAAACTTTGTTCTAGATTGACTTGCTGGTTTTCACGAAGATTTACCAAAAAAATAAATAAATTTTGTGATCATGGAAACAGAAGGTGGAAAAATATGATTATAGTATCACTGACTATCCTATTCTGAGTAAAGGGAGCTGCTCAAAATCACTAAAAATCAAGACTGATTAGTCAATGTGGAGGGTCTGTATTTTGTAAGAGTGCTTATCAAGATTGCATGTTTCTGCTTTCAGAATTTAGTTCTTTGGTTGCATTCCGAATTAAGTCGTTGCTTGTGCTTAGTTATCATGAAAAGTTATAACCAGTTTGGAGAAGTTTTTGGGAGAAAATGAATGTGGGGAGTAGCATAAGTTGTTTTAGTCGAAGCTCCACAAAGTACTAGCTTCTAGGGAAAAACTTGTCAAATACTAATTGATGCTCAAAGTGCTTTTTAAATATATTGGTCAAACTCAACTTGTTTCTCACCAAAATTACTTTTTGAAAAGCAGTTTTAGAAAAAGCACTTTCCAAAATAAGCTGAGTTTAGAAGCTTGGACAAACAAGCTATTAGTTTCAAGATGGTATTTTGCGGATGCTGGTCTGTTAATAACTTTTTCCTACTGGCATTTGTTTCTTTCCGTATATTGCTTCCCTGGAATTTATGATATATCTCTTCTAAGCTGTTAAGTGTATGAATTGTGATTTAAGTTGTAATTCCTAGAATTTCCTGACAGATTCACTAATGTAAACCTATTCTGGCAGCCAGAGCATCGAATTAATGGGCTTGACTCAGTTATGGTTGCTGCAATTCCGACCATGAAATTTCACAGTGAGGCTTTCACCTCCTCAGAAGAAGATACGCAGTAAGTGTAGCACCATACACATTGTTTGAGCTATGTGCTACATGAAATATTTGGCAATTAACTATGCATTTGGAGAGATAAATGTGATGAATATTCTGATCTACTATTTATCTAAGCTAGCAGAAATAGGTATAACCATATTGGGATGAAAAAATGCACCCTGTCTTGTTTTATTGGGTTCCCTCTTGTCTATGTTGAACTTTCATACAGGGGATTGGGTGAAACCATAGGTCTGATTGTTCATTGAGGTTATAATAACTCATTCTACCGTCCAGGCTGCTATTTTCTCTCGTCTTCCAGCCTGGTCTTTTCTCTAAAACTGATTAAAGTGTTCTCTGACTAAGTTTGAAAAGTTTGTCCACTGATGAGGTCATGCAATTTGAATTTCAGGTGCAGTATATGTTTATCGGAGTACCAGGAGAACGAAGTTCTGAGAATCATGCCCAAATGTGGCCATAGTTTCCATCTTTCATGCATTGATATATGGCTAAGAAAACAGTCTACCTGTCCAGTTTGTCGTCTTTCGGTACAGGAATCTATTGAAAACAAACAAAGGCGCCCTGCAATGCTTGGCAGGGATCAGAACTCTGATAGTTCTGAAATTTCATTGGAGCATTCAAGGCAGTGGTTTCTACGTACTGCTGAGCGATCACAAGGTACTGTAAGTAACAGCAATTAAGCAGTTTCTATTTCAATTAATCCTGAACCTGAGGTCTCTCGGGAAGCAGAAGCAAGGTCATGATGAAAGGCAAATATAGAGGTACATAAGAAATTATGCCTTCTGTTTGCATTCAGATGTTTCCTTGTATCAGACCTATCTTATTGGAGACTGACAAATGGGACTGATTCTGAACAAGGAGAATCTGAAGACACAGAGGAAGGACACAGAAACTTCTGTAGATGAATGTTACATATAACCGGTTAGAAGTTCTAGTTGCACTCTTTTAGCAATTCAGAGATTTTGGACCAAGTTTGTGGTATACTGGTTAACCTATCAAAACACAGTGCATCTTATATCATGTTGTACAATGTCAAATCTTCTGTAATATCACTGTAAAGAAGGAGTTTGGAGTCTACGTTTTTCTTCATAGACATTACCAAAGTAGACGACGAACTATAGTCTTATTGAAATGCTCTAGAATTGGCTCATTTGATGGTCATATATTCTGTAAGAATATGAGCCTCCATACACCACTTTTAGTAATTGACAGTCAAGCTATGCTTATAAGTTTTTACCTCACAGCAGTTCTGGCTTCTGATATGCAATATCAAGAATATGATGAAACCATAAAATGTTGGGTTTTCTAGCTTTTTTCTAACAGCTGATCCAGAAGATCATATGCCTATAAAGACTGAATTTTGCTTTTCAAAATGTAGTTTATATTCTTTGGATCATCTCTTAATTTCTTTACTTGGATCCACTACACCTCATATTACATGGATTATATCATTACTAACTACACCTACTACTGTGTGAGGATATTGTTTCTACATCCAATAAAGATCGAATAATTTTGGATAAAAACTTACTCTCGTCTAGCGTTTATACCAAATTATTTGCATTTACCATGGTCAACGGATTATGCAAATACAAGTCATGCATCTGTTTATACCAAATTATTTGCATTTACCATGTCAACGGATTATGCAAATACAAGTCATGCATCTATGGTGAATAAATTTTAACTTGGATTTTGTGTATCTAATCATTTAAGTCAGACCTCATTGAAACGGGAAAGTGGATCAAAGTATCACTACTACTATTTATTAGAAACTTGTTGGACAATTAGATGGCTAACTTCGAATTATCACAGATTCTTTGAAACTCACAAGGAAGAAGAACACATATTATACCATTTACTACTTCTTTCATCCCAACTTGCATACTTTTTATTCTCTTTTGGAGTATTAGAACACAATGGTAATGTCACCATTACCCACAAATGACGTTAATCCTATAATTTATCTTTGGAGGAAGTTTAGACACGCTTTTTTGGGAGTTGAACTTCAAAATACACGTAAGAATTTAAAAATTATGTTTTCACTTTAAATTACTCGCAAAAAGTAAAAGGTAAATCTAATCGATATTTATGTTAGAACACAATTTTCAAATATAATTTTATAATGAAACATGAGATCACATCACCCCTTATTTAAAAGCACATACAGCAGCAGAAAGGTAAAAAAAAAATTCAAAAAAAATGAAGAATCAACTATCAAGAACCACTAAAAAAGTGGAGAAATATCTCCAGGCAAAAGAGGGCAAAAAATGGCTGTAGCACTCTTGGGGAGTATTTCCTTTTCCTCCTCCATGCCTTCTATATCTTCCCCTTCTCTCCAACACCCTTTCAACTTCAACAAGCACAAACCTCTAATTGGTATGCTTCTTTACAAATTGAACCATTTATTAGTTTCATATGCTCATTTAGTTCATGTAATGAAGATATTTTGCGTAAAGATTCCTACTTTTTTTTTCATATCTGTTTCTTTTACTAGTACTTCGAACTTTCTTGTTAATTTTTCAATTTGACCGGATGGTTTCAAAGAGCTCATCCTCTGGCCCAACTTTAATGATGGAATTGCCCACTTTATTCTTTTCCTTCTGTTAATTTGAAGTTTAAGGGTTTGGGGTTAACTTGGAGGTGTTGTTTATGGGGCATATCGAGTTTAATCTGTAGGGTGTAATGACTCGTCAAGCAAATTAGATGAATTCAGAGAATTATTTTTGTTCACTATATCTCTGTCTCACTGTTTGGCTCTATCAATTGTTGGGATTAGCAGAATAAAACTCCCAAGGAACCATTTTCATGAATGGTTTTATGAAAGAGAGTTAATTTCTACTCACTGGAAAAGGAGTGTAAATTATACTCTTTGAAGTCAAAGAATTTATTTTCTCCGGAGTTACCTAGTACCTATGCTGGGGATGCACCAGGTACTCAGTGAAATTGTTGAGGTGCTCGCTAGTTGGCCCAAATATAACCATCATTAAGAAAAGAATAATAGGAAGTAATTTTTCCCTGCACCCATCATTTTAGTTGAGTGATGATAACTTATAAAAATTGATTCAGTTACCACCTTCTTCCTTATGCAAACAAAGGAAAAATTTAATTTCTTTCACATTCTCTGCTATTTTCCTTCTTACACTCTCAATTGCCTTTCTTCCTTTTCCTCCTCTCCAAACAATGTAAGTAATGTAAGTTGTCCTAGCAAAGATTGTTCCTGAGTCTCGACTTATCAAACAGATAAGAACTTCACCGAGTGCCTGTTAAGTAACTTCATTTACTGGTCCATTTCATATCAATAATGATCCTTTCAGGATTTTGTTCCAACTTTTAACATTGTACAAATAGTTTTTTGTCTAAGCATTTTTCTTCCATATGGTTGTTCATTTAGGTAACTGAAAAATTGGTTGTGATACTTAATTCTGGAATTTTTAACGTAATCTGAAAATCTAGAATTAATTTTTAAGGTTCTAGACTTCAGCCACTTGAATTCCTACAGTCCTGATTCCTGATACTAAGGGTTGATGTTGTAGCATACCAGTGGTTGCTTCCAGTGCACTTTACAACTTGTTGAACTCATTATAAGTGTGTAAGAAGTTATCGTGATTGTGATTTCGCCTTAAAAGTCTTCACCCTGTACATCTGATTGGTCATGACAATCCATTGAACCTTTATGGTTTCGAATTAATTATGTGCTATCTGCATTCATTAACAAACATTCATTTCCCATATCATGTTTATTCACTCCTTTGGATTCCACAGTGGCTGCAATGAGTGATGATCCAGTTCGTGAATGGATCCTTTCAGAAGGAAAGGCAACAAAGATCAAAGGAATCAGTCCAATTGGTGGTGGGTGCATAAATCGGGCAACTCGTTATGACACTGATGCTGGTTCGTTTTTTGTTAAAACAAACAGGTATTTGATTATGTTCCTCCTGTTTAAACGTTAAATAGATGTGATAGATGGTTGCGTAATATGGTATTATTAAAAGGGGTAGATAGTTGCTTAATATGTTATTGTTAAAAATCTAATCAGGAGTATTGGACCATCAATGTTTGAGGGAGAGGCATTGAGTTTAAATGCTATGTACGAAACAGGGTCAATCCGTGTACCAAAACCATATAAAGTAAGGATGACAGTTTTTTTCTCGTGTCCTAAATCTTTGTAGAAGCTTTCCTCCTCTTCCTCTTGAAAAAAAAGGTTTGTCATTGTATCCTAGAGATTATTGTTTGATGCATTGTGTAGGTTGGATCTCTGCCAACTGGTGGCTCGTATATCATTATGGAATTTATTGAGTTTGGTGCATCTAGAGGCAATCAGGTGAGAGTGATTGTTCATCTCTTTTTCCGATAATTACTATTTCCTTCATATCATTTTCTTTGTTAATTTGGTGATAACATTCAGATATTTGACCATTTTCTGCTTTTCAGTCTGCATTAGGAAGGAAGCTTGCTGAAATGCACAAAGCGGCAAAATCTGAGAAGGGGTTTGGCTTTCACGTTGACAATACTATTGGCAGGTATCATGCCAGGATCATATCTAAATGCTTCCATTATGAGGATGCATTTCGCAAAACCTACTATTTGATGAATTGCACACCTGCACAATTGTACTATGTGTTTGAATGGAAGGATCATTTGTAGCTTTTATACTATAAGGCAAAAGAAAAAAAAGTGAAATGAGAAATATTCAATTTTATGTCTAGTAATTGAAATTGGAGTTCTCTCATCATTTGTATCGCTCCATATATTAAGGCATAAACAGATCGGACAAATCAAGAGCTGAATATTTGTGCATATGTGTAGTACTCCACAGATAAACACATGGATGTCAGATTGGGTTGAATTTTTCGCGGAACACAGATTGGGATACCAGTTGAAGATGGCTCGTGAACAGTATGGAGATCCAATCATTTATGAAAGAGGTTTAAATCACCATTATATTGGAAATAAAACTGACTCCATTTATGGAATTTATCCTGTTTGATCATATGATAAATGCAATGTGGAAATGTGTACATCCTCCTCCTTCATTCTTAATTTGAAGTTGCTTCAGGCTTCGTTTTGGAATTACAATTTGAACCAACTTACTGTAGTAGCAGAGAAGGGATTGTTGCTCCTTAAATTCATTATAATGGGCTAACGGCCAAAAGTAGCATGCTTTCTTCTTCTCCGGCGCAAACCAGAGCTCTCACTTATCTGTTAATCTGCCTTTGAGTGATTTATAATCATACCTATCTTCCCCTGCTCATTCTGAGATAGATAGCGTTTAGTTTAAACTTCTGCAACCTAGTTTTCATTGGGCAACGAGACAACGTCGACATACATGGAGTGATGGGCAAATATCAAACTCTAAGGAGCTGAATATATGTCAAAACCCACATTTTTTGTAGTATTCCTTTTTCCTGAAATTTGAGGCTTGGCAGTTTCTACAACTTGAGATTAAACGGCTTAATAAGTAAATATTTTTAAACAACCCAATGATGTTACTTGGTTTTTCAATATCTGACATGCTTTATTTGTTTTTCTATCGAATTGATCCATTCTTAGGGCAAAGGCTAGCAAGGAACCTGGGACCTTTATTCAAAAATGTTGTCATAGAGCCATGTTTGTTGCATGGAGATTTATGGAGCGGGAACATGACATATGACAAGAATGGCGAACCTGTGATTCTTGACCCTGCATGTTACTGTAAGTCCTAGGTTTTGGTTTCAATATTGTTATAAAAAATTATTGTTTTTGCTTCATAATTTACTACTTCATATATGAAATATATCTCTTTCGAGCACCTGAAAATTGCGTTATCTGAGGCAAGCATGTTTGGTGCAGTTTATATTACTATGGAAACGTATATAGCTCCTTTTAATGTAACGACCTCTTTTATCAGAGGCGTTAACATAACCAGTTATAGCAGTAAAGATCAATACAGTATAAGAGATGGAACTCATGGAAGATTAGATAGTTAATGTAAATGACTAGGATCCTGATGAATTACAATAAGACAAGTATATATTGAAATATAGTACACTAATAAGGTAAATATTTGCTTCCTTTTCTACTTTTCAGAGGAAGATCAGTATGAGATAATCCAACCTTCCCAATTGCCTGAAGTTTGACTTTCAATGGTCAAACTCGGCATTTGATCAAAGCCATTTAAAGACAACTTCTGAAACTTTAATGGTGAAATGGAAAAAATGATAAAATATAAATACTTGTAACTTTGAAATTTCTCAAATTGCAAAAAATTTGTCTATAAATGCATTGACCTAAGTCCACAAATACATAAAGTTGACAAGTCTCCATACGGTGTCAGCTTACAATTATGACTCTTTTAAAAATGTTGCCGCAACCCCTGGATCTTCCACAAAATGCACTACTTTTGGAGAATCCGATATGCACGCACTTGTCTGGATTTTCAACAAGTTTGAGGGACAAGATCTTACCTCTATTGGATATTCGTCCTTATACTCGCAAACTAAGTTGCTCGGACTCTCCAAAATTGTTGCTGCAGCCATGTCAGATCCTTAAAAAATGCACTACTTTTGAAGGATCCGGCACACGCCCGATGACATTTTTGAATTGTCCAAGCAACATAGCTCGCAAACAATTAGTTAGGAATTGGGATTACTGTATAATGAAAGGTCAACATTTAAAAATGACATTGCCTCTTGAATTGTGCCAAACTTCACATGAATTGGTAGAGTAAACCTCTGGTAGCCTCTTCTATAGTTGGACATTGGGTTTTGGAAGTACTTTAATTGGACATTGGGTTTGAAATTACTATCTTTCGACATTGGATTCGATTTACTTCCAGATGTAGAGCCTGGTTTATGTGATTCATGTTAATGCCTATTGTAATAAGACTTAAATCCCTTTCTCCTCATTATTCCTTGTGCCAATATCATATGCACATTGCAATTCAGACGGACAAGGAAATATACATAAGTTGAATGATCTCTGTGCAATATTTATGTTCTGGCTGTCAGGTGCTTGATTTTTGGTATATGAATTAATGGATCCAGATGAACTAATAGTATGAATCTCGTCCTTCTTAGATGGGCATAATGAGGCAGAATTTGGAATGTCATGGTGTGCTGGATTTGGAGGAGATTTTTACAAGGCTTACTTTGAGGTGCTGCACTTAACTACAATTTCCAGAATTCACATTTTGTTTTCTTGTCTTAGACACTTAATCTGCAAAGACTTTCTAAGGGGGGGGGGGGGGGGAGAAAGAAAAAGAAATCCCTTTTTTCCTGTTGTTCCTGAATAGATGACCGGTAATCTCTAATAACAAGTTAAGTATAATTAGCATCACAATTGAATTTTGTGATCCACCACCATATTGGCTTGTTAACCAGGCTGTCAACTAGCCACTGGATGGGGGTCTTTGTCTGACATTTGCTTCATATTCTTGGTATTTACTCTTATTCGTTTCCGTGTATGTTTCTATGTTCAGGTGATGCCTGAACAACCTGGTTTTGAAGAAAGGAGAGATTTATACATGCTGTATCACTACCTAAATCACTACAACTTGTTTGGATCGGGTTACCGATCTTCTGCAATGTCCATAATTGATGACTATCTACGGATGCTCAATGTCTAGACACTATTTTTTTTTCCTCATTCACTTCATTTCTTGTACATGTAAAAGCTTTTGTCTTTCTGTAGTTGTTGGCCATTTTGAAGAGCCGTTTGTACATTTATAACTGTGGTACTCCTTCACACGTCTTGTATAATCATTTCGACAGAAAATGCCATTTTTCATCTATTTCAAGTGAACATATGTATTAAACTGAGAAAGAGAGTCACAAACTGGAAGTTGATGTAGGCCAACTCTATTTCATCCATGATATAATTATTTGCTTCATATATTATACTAGGTTAACCAAGAATCAAAAAGAAGGAACTTCAATACGTGATGGTTAGCCTAGGGATAAAAGTTAAAACAGACTCTACAAATTTCATGAGGTATTCTATTTGACGCTGGAGGACACGAGGAGATGTATAGGTAGGGTGAAAAGACATAGCTAAAGCTTCACATGACTCTAGATTGATCGAAGAGTATGGAGGTCGAATATTTGGTAAAGATTAGTCGTAAATAGTTTTGTGACTTGTCTCTCCGTATTATGCCTCTATTTTCTTACCATTTGTTGTTACTACTCGTGTCTTTGTAAATATTGTGCTTTCCTCGAGCCTGAGGTCTATTGAAAATAGTTTTTCTATTTAGATGTAATAAGGTCTACGACTGTGTATAGGCTCTCTCAAATTCCATTTGTGGAACTATACTATTTTTTTACGTGCAAAATGGACTAGTTTTACTTTAGTGTTAAATGATTATTAGCATCTTTATAAAAAAAAACTTGGAAAATGATTTGACCAATTAGTAAAGTTGGTTAGTGTGGTAATAAGCATTGACTCTTTCCTTGAAATGGAAATAAGCATTAATCTTATGTTTTACTTAAATAGGCTGGATTAGAAGAAAAAGTAATTTTGAAAGGAGAAAGAGAAATGGAAATGGAGATGGAGATAGTTTCAGAGAAAGGAGGCATAGCTGAATTGATACAAGCACTTGACCAAGCAACCCTAATGGCTAAACAACTCCCCACCACTGCTGATTCTTCTCAACTCCTACAAATCCACTCTTCCCTTCAATCTGCTCACCACCGTCTCTCCAACTTCCTTTCCCAAACCCACCACCACCAAACACCACATCTCCTCCCTGCACCACTTCCATTTACCGAGAATTCTGTCTCCTCCGCCGTAGGAGGGGAACCTATGCAAGTTGGGGATGAGGAAGATGCTGTGAATGATTCCAAGAGTAGTGTTGACAGAGTAGAGGAGAGGATGAGGGATTGTTTCATTCAGAATAAGAGACCTAAAAGACCTCTTTCCCCGACGTCAGCTGTGGCTGAGCAGCGCCGGAGCTATGACAATGACGGCCCTGATTTGGAATTTGATCCTCATCGGACTAAGTTGAGGTCCTTGGATCTTATTTATCAGTTCCATTCTTGAACGACTATGTAGAGAATCGTTTCAAATTACATTTACTAGTGGAGTAGATAAGATGAATTATTTTCCAAATGTATTTTCATATTCCCTATCCATATAATCTAAACCATTTTCCCCCTATTTGGATTATGAGTTGATTTTGCTTCTTCATTTCACTGCAAATACTTACAGTGCTAATTCATCAACTCAAGAGTCATAACAATACATGAACAGAATGAGAAAGAATAACAACAATAATCACGCCTCAATACCATATGAATTCTCACTGATCAGGGATTGTAGAGGTGATCTGATGCAAACAAAATAAATATCGATTATACTTTAATGGCATACTCTACTAATGAGAGTAAAAGTAGTATGATACGTTATAACATATTTACACTCATGACAATTGCTTATGCTGTGTTGAATGGATTAAGGCTTTGATGAATTTGACAACAGTAGAGCAAGGGGGGCTCAAATCAAGTGTTGCAGGGTTGCTATTTTTACTTAAGCTGTTTGAATTTACTGCGGGTGATATTGCTCCGGGCTTGTAGACTCCCTATTCCAGATTCTGGTACCGGTGAAGCTTGAGCACAAGTATTCTCAGGACAGCTCAGCACCAAGTGGCACCAGAAGATCCTAGGGTTTAACAATTGAATTATGCAGCCTTACAAAATCATTAAGCGCAAGCTCCTCAGGCCTTGACTGAAAAAGAGAAAGTAAAGAGGGGGAAAACCAAAAGTGAGAAGAAGTGATTTAGACAGATCAGTTTCTAGAGTTCCATTGACTAGATAAATGAGAAACTACATCAGTAATACCGTGGATGGAAGACCAGTGCTAGCAAGAGCTTCTTCAATCTCAAGAGAAGAGCATATATGTTGTAGTGTCTTTCGTAACATCTTACGTTTCCCATTAAATGCACAGTTGACCTTAACCATCAATGAGGAATAGAATGTCAGCTTATAATAATGAGAAAGATGAACTACTCACCATATTTAACCCTAAATTCCCAAATTAGTTTTATAAACAAGTATTGGCCTAACCAAAGATCGCAGATGCTGTTTATTTTTATACAAAAGTAGTGTTATGCTTCCAATCGTTATATCACACTTGAACACACGCTGAAAGCAAAATGGAAAGTACAAGAGAAGGCTGTATACCATTGAGAAGAAGCTTTTAGCAGAAGAAACGGGAGGATAATCTACAGGTTGCTTCAGTCTGAAGGAAACTACAGCTGCGTCAACCTGAAGAACAAAAAACAGACAATTTCACTTTGTGACCCAATGGAATAATCATAACAATTACCTATTACACACCATCATATGGACATGGAAAAACTATATGACCAGCAAAGATCCTGTACATGATTTGGAACTATATCCTTGAAATAATACTATTCGTCAAAGAGATCAAGGGAAGTATTAAAGGAAACACGCTTAGAAGATATGTTGTAATGAAGGGAACTTATTTAAACGTTAAAGTAAAGTTTCATTCTACCATAGTTCAAAGTACTTGATATTGGACAGAGCATCACATCTGAAGTTGTCTAGGGGTGTATGTTCAATTTATTGGAAGTGACAGTGTGCCTGGAAGAGTCTCTAAATTCCAAACTGCTAATGTTTAAGTTCAAAAAATAGTTAATTATGATCTGTTCTCGGTTCAGAATAGGTGTTCGGGGCACTTACTTTAGGTTGTGGAAAGAAATTTGTCCTCGGCACCTTAAATTTGTATTCAGGATCTGCAGCGATAAATGTTAATGCAAAATTATTGATGAAAGCATATAAAAAGTTTTGAATCTATTTACAAAGATGTAAAAGTGTCATTGATATTAAAGATATGATTTTGATTAGTACAGTATATCTTTGAGACTCGAAGAATATGGACTGCTAGCATTCAACTAAACACAAATTTGAGGTACTAAGGATCAGAAATGAAAGACGGCACAAATCCACTGCAAATAGGAGTTGATATATCAGATAATTAGAAGTGGAATTTTTGGAATTTATCAGCAGAATCTAGGAAGAGTGCTTTTTTTTTGTCTCGCGGGACCAGGTAGCCAAAAATGAATCTAGGACCTGGTGTAACGATAGCTGAAAACCAAGTAAAACTTGGAAAAAGATGAGGTTTTGGCACAATCGTCACCTTTCATATTCAGAAAATTTACTTCATATATTGTATGTATTCTTATTCATAGCTACAAAGTAAAACTGGGTGTACTATCCCAGTCCAAATAAGATAACTGAAGGTTGTTTTTGTAGTCAAACAACATACAACTACAGAAATATTCTTCGAGTAATTAGGGTTGTCTTTTTTCAAGGTATCACCAGAAAATGTTTGTAATCCTCAGTACAGGACTAGAGTTACGACATTGAGGTCTAAGGGACTACTTCACCTCTCACAAGACTTCTCAAGTACCTGAGTAGAAGTTGATGAAAATATTAATGGGTCGGTATTCAGAGGACCGTAAGGATGAATCCACCATGCGCACAGCTGCTTCCTCCTGAAATTCCATACAATCAACTGTCAGTGATACTTCCAACAATTGGAAAAGTTGGGTGGGATTTGGTAACAGGTGAAATCTATCAAATGTTTCCTATATGCCATCAAGTTGCATACTTTGTGAAAATGACCTCCTACATTATGTCCCAGAACATCTACCATTATATTTTTCCAGAACTAGTAGTAATAGATGATACAATAAACATACAAAAACAGCACGAGGAGCTTGTTAGGTTTCGGTAACCATCAAAAGTAACTACCATATAGGTTTAAGCAAGAAACTTAGCTAAGTTAAATCAGAAACTAGTTCAGGATGTCGATGCAGAACGAGACATAGACTATGACAGAAATCAAACTTCAGACTCCAAAAAGAGTTGCTTTCTTTGTTTGGTGTGCAGTGCGTGATGCCTCCCCGATTGTGTAGAATTTGAGACAGAGAAGGAGAATATTTGTGAGTCGGTGTTGTATGAAAAGAATCTAGAGAGGATACTAATCATCTCTAGTTGCATTCAGGCTAGCTTCAAGATAGAGGACTCTTGTTTTCTTGTCTTTTAACATACACGGACTATGAAGAATGTAATCTTGAGTACAGAGGTTAGCACTGAAAGGAATAGCCTTGAAATGTCACCACTACGTCTCTTTTGGGATCTTATGGAATGGAAGAAAACGAACATAGTTTGAAAACAGTGAGAATGGTGTGAAAAGCATGAAAATATCCTTTTATTTCACTTGTATTTTTGGTGCAAAGAGACAATATTGTGTTGTATAGAGGGTTCACAAACTTCATAGGTACCTAGATGGCTTACGTTGTCATATAAACAACTTGACATATTTTTGACACTAACTTGGTGTTCAGTAATGAAAATTTGGGCAATGTAAAATGAAATAGAATCAGAGAAACTTTCACAATAACAAAATGGATGGGGCACAAGAAAAATGACAAGACCTGAGGCGATCTCTATGGCAACCGATATTACTCACTCTAAAACATACACAGGCATTACAAAGAAGCTTGCTTAGTTCTTGAATTTATCAAAAATAATCATACAGGTCGTTAAAGACCCTTTGAAAATAGAGATGCAAAAGCTTGGACCTCTAAGTCAAAGAAGTTTTAATCCTATCGCTTCAGATCGTAAAAAAGTATGACAACACAGAACAACCAACAGTCCCTGATGCACAACATAAGCTATCCGGTTAAAAAAATAGAAAGGGAAAAAAGAAGGAAAAAAAAAAAGAGAGCTGTACCACCATTCCCAATATCAACATAATTCCCACTACCTATTTTTGGTATTAGCAATCAATTAATGTGGAAGCATATTTAAACTGACAAAACCAACCTGGAGCAACAAAACTACTTCCGAGAAGATATCACCCATGGGAAGAAGTTGCTTAATAACTTCTGTACTTATGTTAAAAGGTAGATTGGAGACTACCTGGAATAATGAAAGGGATATACATATCCTGTTAGCATGATATTGAAGGCATTGGTAATTTGCACTACAAAACACATAATTTTAAAGCACAAAAGTGTCAAGAATAGGACCAACAGATTCCAATACCAAGATTCAACGGAAGAACTTGAGAAATAAATGCAGGTCCTTACCTTAGCATATTTTGGTTTCACACCAGAAGAATTCATTCCACTCTGCAGAACTGTGGACAAATGGGAGCGTATGTGACATTTTGTGAAATCCTCTTGCAAGACCTATAGATGCAGTGGTCACAATATCACATTTCTATATGTCCTTGCAATAGAAACTACTGAAGCATAACGTAAACCAAGTACATTTTATCTTCTTTTACAGTAGAAGAACATTCTATATTAGGTAAGGAACTATATTCTCAAATATTAACTTTAATTATGTATTCAAAGTGGAGGAAACGGAACTAAAATTGTTACCTTTACACAGTCTAGACTCGAAAATCTCTCTGTTACAAGGTCTGCCATGTAGGGATCCTTAAATCATTGAAAAAGAACAATTGTGTCAACAATAAAAAGGAACAATAATAAGATTGAAAACAGAAGATAGATAAGCTTTTTTTTCTTTTTTCTCATAACTGTTTACGTAAGATATATCCTCAAAGTTTGATAAGTATTAACATTTTCAATGCTATTACACTCAGAGGGACACTCTCACTACGCTTTAATCCCAAGCTATTCTATTACACACAGAGAGGGATACACATACACTCAATACACTTTAATCCCGAGCTATTCTATTACACACATAGAGGGATACAAACATACACTCACTACACTTCAATCCCAAGCTAGTGGACTGTAACCATTACATTCTATTTAAACTCGTGTCATTCCAACATGAATCAATTTCTCTTTAAATCTCAAACTTTTCACTAACATACAAGACTCTCTTAACCAGACTCAAGACTCCTAACATTTACTCTATGCTTGGCAAAAGATTAAATAAATCAGAAGTACATTGATAGTGGAAAAGAATAAACCTTTTCAATTGCAAGGACAGTGGCACCAGAATTGACAAGAACATTTGTCAGGGAACCGGTACCAGGCCCAATTTCAACCACCAAATCTCCTTCTTGCACATCAGCAGCAGCAACTAGTTGATCGTTTACCTCTGAATTCAGCATGTAATGCTGGCAGTGCAAAATACAATTAAAAAAACACAAAACACCAAACTTGTTAGGACTGAAAATAAGCAGGTGTAAACGCGGAAGCTAGCAAAGCAAACCTCGAAAGACCACGAGTAAGAAGACAACGAGAAATATACCAAAAGACACAAAGATTTAACGTGGTTCGGTCAATCGACCTACGTCCACAAAGGAGATGAGCAATCCACTATAAACATGAGAGTACAAAATACAGAGGAAAACAACCTCAACCAATTCACTCGGAATACATGAGAGGTTCACAAATTCTCCCTCTAACCAAAACTCTTAAACCCCTTAAAATTACATTGTGAATGCTAATTAAGTTAGAAGGAACATGCCTCTATTTATAGAGTCCTAAATCTTTTCCTACCAAAAAAGAATAGTCAATTCAAAACCTTTTCCTAAAAGGAAAACCTATTTATGGTAAGAAATCAGGGCAAATAAAACCCAACAAATCTCCCCCTTGGCCTGAATTTCTGACAAAATAAATTTGTTCACCTTCTTTACTTAATCTTCAACAACTTGATTCTCCTCTCCATAATCTCCTTTACAAAATTTATGTCTCAACACAGAGAACCTCTCTGAAACAATTTCTCCAACAAAATCTTCATTACTGTCAAAAAAAGGTTGCGGCTAGAACTACACCCGTCTGAACACCTCTTTCTAACTTGGTTCAATCATCGATTATCGAACCACTACACCTGACTCTATCATTGAATCTGGCTCTGATACCACTTGTTAGGACCGAAAATAAGCAGGTGTAAACGCGGAAGCTAGCAAAGCAAACCTCGAAAGACCACGAGTAAGAAGACAACGAGAAATATACCAAAAGACACAAAGATTTAACGTGGTTCGGTCAATCGACCTACGTCCACAAAGGAGATGAGCAATACTATAAACATGAGAGTACAAAATACAGAGGGAAACAACCTCAACCAATTCACTCGGAATACATGAGAGGTTCACAAATTCTCCCTCTAACCAAAACTCTCCAAACCCCTTAAAATTACATTGTGAATGCTAATTAAGTTAGAAGAAACATGTCTCTCCTAAATCTTTTCCTACCAAAAAAAAGAATAATCAATTCAAAACCTTTTCCTAAAAAGGAAAACCTATTTATGGTAAGAAATCAGGGCAAATAAAACCCAACAAAACTCACTCTATACACCCATTTCGCTGTTCACTTTACTACGGAACTGAAAAACATCAAACACCAGCTTGCTCAATCATACCCACTTCTCTGTTCGATGAAATGCCCCAACGAACAATACCCATTACCGTTCAGAACCAGCAAATTACCTGCCCAAGTGACTTTCTTGGAAAACGACCTTTAGAGTTGAGAGCTTTGAGAGTGGCATGATAGTCGTCCTCGGCCTTGTTGTTTATTCTTGTTTCGCTTGTAGTTTTAGATACTGCAGCTACCGTATGAAGGGATTTGGGTCTTGTACTATGGAAAGCAAAGGGTCCATCGTACGCCGGAGAATTTGCCGGAGGTTTTGAAGTTGAAGAGAGTGGCAGCAGGGTATGCAGCAAAGAAGGCATTAGTAGTTCTTTTGCAGTTATTGGTCTGTTAACTTCAGGGGATTTATCCATGAGAATGTTAACGAAAAGACAAGTTTGCCCCTTCTAAAAATGGACTCAATGATTATCTTCTTTTACTTTCCAAGGGTAAAATAGACTTTATCATACAAAACTCTTTTTATTATGATAATGACCAAATGTGTAAGCATAGTACAGGAACATAGTAGTACTACAGCATCTATTTAGCAACTTGAGGTTCATGAAAATTCAGATTTATATACAAACATGATGAGATAAAAGGTACATCGAATCGCTAAACTACCTATACAGCTTTGAATGAATAAAAACTTGAGTCAGCTAGATTAAAGAAATTCATTGTCCTCCCAAAATAGTTGTGTACTTCTGTCTTCTGTTGTTTCCAGTAGAGACTTAATGTCTATTTCAGTACCTAAACTATTGGCTTCAAGTGTTATTTGTGGTAACTCTGGTGCTGAATATTGTTGCTGTATAGAATCATAATTCTCTAGTGATGGCACATATACTTCATCATCACCAAATAATATTGCAGAATAGTCTTCAAGATCCTTTGATGATGGCTGTGGTGCAAGCTGTTCTTGCGGTATGAAGCTGTCAGGTATTTCTGGGATTTGACATGATATTGTATTCTCTGCATTATCGAATAGTAGAAGATTCTGTTGTTGTGAAATGCTGTTAGAAGTATGATTGAATGTGAGATTTTCAGGTTGAACTGAAGAGGATTGAATTAAGGTATTTTCAATAGGGGTTTCCAAGAATTTTGGTGAAGATTGCTGCTTGTGGATGTAGTCCTCTGATATTGAGGAACATAGACCAGAATACGCATTATTTGGGATTACAGTACAAGAGGAACTTTTGTGACCAAAGTTGACAGATTTCCCATCTGTGCTCAATCTAAAACCAAGAAATTCCAAATCAGAATTACTTGAGTTTGTGGGCTGGTTTTCATTGCCACTTTGGATGCTGAAAAGCATGTTCTTTCTCTTGTCACCATATACCCTGAAGTTACTATTATGAGCTATTCTTGGCATAAATGTTGAATGTTGTCCAATTAGGCCATTATGATCTGCTTGTTGCAAATCCAAGAGACTGTTCTGCTGCTGGAAACTGCCCATTTGGCCAGAAGTTGGACAGTTCATGCCGCCAGTTCCTTGCTGGAAGTGATTCTGAAATGGCTGTTGTATAGAATGAGCATATCCTCGCGAACCACTGAAATTTAGAGGAGACAGGTATGGTTGAACTTGAAAGCATTTTGCATTAGCATCATTTGTAAGGATTTGGTCATAGATAGAAGCAGCTGAACTTTCTTGAGCTCTTTTAATACACATGCGATATTTCTGCAAATAAGTACATTATTTTTGTTAAATAGCAATTAAACTTATCCGTAATAGTATATGATGAGAATTTAATATATTGCGATTTTGAGAATGAAGACATTCAACATCTGTGACATGCATCAAGGGACAAGTGCAAGGTTCTAGCTCTTAATGCAAAGATTTTGCTAGATAATAAATGCATCTTATCATGTGCTTACTAAAACTGGTGATTCTTGTATTAATTTCAGAGATTTCGTGTTATAATTACGCTATTATGGTTCACATTTTTTTATTTTGGATAACCCCTAGAAGAGAAAAAAAAATGGAATGTCCATATGGAGAAAAAGGAAAAGTTAACAGATATCATATCTGATGAAAATTTGGTAGAAGTGATTGTAAAGAGATTTAAAGTTCTGCAGAAGATTTTAGTAATATAAATGAAAACACACCTGCAAATGACTGGCAACATGTTCTCTAGTCAATCCAGGCTCATTCATAATTTCAACTATTTTCTTAGGAACAGCCTCTGGATATGAATTAACATAAACCAAAAAAAGTTTCATTAATATCAACTACATAATTCAGAACAAAAAAAAAGTAAAAAGAACTCTCAGGGGAAAAAAGAAAAGGAGAAAATGTTTTACTTTCATAGCCTAAGTACTGGATAGCTTGCAAGAAACTTTGATGCATCTTTGGAGTCCATACAACCCTTCGTTTCTTTTCGATGTCTCTATTTTCTTCACTATTAGCTTTTCGCTTACCCTTCAGATCATGCGCCTTTATCGCTACATCAGTATCAGCAGATGTTGTGTTCTCTCTACTTGTCTCTGCAGTTACATTCTGAGGCAATCTTGAATCATTCTCCTCTTGATTGACTACTGTTTTTCTACCTTTCTCCTTCTCTAACACCATTTGCCAAAACTTGTTCATCTCATTTGTATCTGAGAAACTCACAACATAGGCTCCAACACTACAATCTTGTACTTGATTTTCACATCTTGTATCATCAGGTGACATAACTGTAGAAAAATTAAATGTGCAACCCCCTTTAAAGACTTAAATTGCAAAACAAATAAACTCTGAAAACACTTACAAATGGTAGGAAGATTGAGTTTGTTCTTGATGATTTGTAGAATATCAACCCCATTTGTGTTAAGCCTATGGATGTTTGTAAGAACAAGATTGAATATACTCTTTCTCTCCCAAACAGCATTTAAAGTATCCATTGTTTTTCCAACATGCAAAACTGATAAAAACAGAAAAACAACAGAATTCAAAGTTAAACAACTTTATACTTCTAGATACATATATATATGTAAATAGAAAAATATACCTTGATAAGTTTGGTTGTGAAGCATATCAGAAACAATATTATGACAAGTAAAATCATCAAGAACTAAAAGTATGCAGATATTTTTAGTTCCCATAACAGATGAATTGGCAGGAATGTCCATGTTTTTTTTTTGTAAGGAAGATGTTTAATTTGGAGGTAATGTAACAATAAGGGATATAATGTTGTATTTTGTAAGAGCACGGGAAAACACAAATTATTTCCATTAATTGCTTTTATACTATGTTTGTAGGCCCAATGCCAAATTTTATAAAGTAATCCGAAAATTACTTAGAAAATAGCTTTATTGGTGTATCTATATAAAGAAATAATAAAAATATGACTAGTTGTGAATTTTCTTTCTCCTTGAGAGTTTCGCATCATAACAACCTTCAACACAAAAGAAGAAGAAAAAACGATCTTATTTCATTTATATATATTTATACTTGATATACAAAATACGTATATTTGTATCCACTATTATATTTTAGAGTAATAAATAAAATATGAGTATTTGTTGCGACTATTATTTTTTAGGGTGGCTACAATAAGATAATTATCCCGATTTTATATAGAAAAAAAAGAGTTTGAGAGAGCCTCTTTGTAAATTTATAAGAAAACAAGGGTGGGTAAATCTTCAAAAATGTGAATTGGGAATTTCTTGTATAGGGTAAGAGGAGAATTTAGAATCCATTAAAGATAAAAAAAAAATATATGAGACAAAATTACTCTTTCATAATTTTGTCCTTGTGAAGGAGTGTAGATAATTATGCTCTGTTTTCCTTTTCTATCTATTCCTCATTCAACGATTTTAACATTTTACTATGGATATATGTATGACTGTGGATTTAACTCCTACATTCCTCAACAAATTTTACAAGCATACAAGTGAGAATTTATATAGTCTATAACAAAACATTGACTATCTCTTAAAGTTTATAAAATTTATCAATGTATCATAAGATTTTCATTTGCTTAAAATGAATTTGTATCGAAGATAAAAATCATATATTGATTAGCCCATGAATTGTAAATTGAATTTGTGTCGAAGATAAAAATCATATATTGATTAGCTGATAAATTGTACGACAATTATAAAAATCATATAAATTGACCTAGGTAAATACATAAACTCCATTGGATTATAAGACAGTTCAATATTAAACCTAAACCTATTGTTAGAGTATCGCTTTTATGCGGCGAAAGTCAGTTAAAATTAGGTAAAACTCCTACTTATGCCAGCATGACCAATAAGCAGACTGGCAGGAAGAAATCAATTGAACAATCAAATCATTGGTTGCTTCCACCTTTGACACTTATTTACCTCATTTTATAAGTCAGCTTGCATATACAAAAAGAGAAAGAAAACAGAACATAAGAGTTATATGCACATCATTCTAATAATTGCTGCCTGAGAGAAAAACTAACCTACATTTACAAGTGAGCCTGCATTTTACCAAATGGAGTTAAAAAAACAAAAATAAAGATTACTATGCACCATCACTGTGATAACCAATTTACAGGATGCAAAGGTATTGAATAATCCTGCAATATGGCTAATCGAACAAAAGCTTGCGTCTAACTGACTTGGAGTAGTTTCGGATGGGTTCTTTATCTCTTTCTCTAGAAGTATCCGCACTAATCTTTGGACAGCCAGTTTCACTCTCCTCTGGCTTCTCATGACAAGGGACTTTGGATGATCGATAGAAGTTGGTGATGCTGAGTTGAACACCTTTCGGTGATTCTGAATTCTCAGACTTCATTGGCCTTTTTCTACGTGATCTTGATTCTTTTAGTTCCTGGGGTATCACAAATGAGCATTTAGTAAACAGAACTAACATTCTTGCGGAATGGAATTCGGATTAGGGGGGTTGAGGTAGGGTAGAGAAAAAGTAAATCAGTCTTTACCTTGTCTCTCAAGAACAGGGACACCTTTTCTGGAAAAGCATTCTGTACAAGCACCATATCTTCTTCAGTTGACAAAAAGTTGCATCCCTCCTTGACATGAATCTGCGGAGAATCAGGTTCATTAAGTAAATCTGTGGACTCATCAGCTATCCCCAGCTCCAGTTCCGTATCAGAGTCTTCAGAAGGTATGCAGGTTACATTGCTCATTTCACGTGTTGGTTTCTTCCAATTGATCACGTAAAGTTGATGTCCAAATCTTGTCTTCACCCGCTGAATGGAGTCAAATTCATATTGTCCGCCTAACAATTGATCTTTGGAATTTGAGGCCACGTCTCTCAGAAATATGGTGGATAACATAGGAAACATTCTTTGACGTGTATAAGATGGCTCCCAGTGCTGATAATAAGCCAGATAATCAACTATCATATCAATCTTTGGATTTTCCCATGATAAATGATAATCACCATCTGCAAAAAAAAATTCCACGAGGGTAAACAAGGTACAGAACTTGTCTTGAATTGATTGCAGACTATGCAAGAGGCACTTATATGGGAGTTCAGACAACTACAACAAGATAAACTTATACTAACATGAATTATAGAGAGTTTTAGGGAATGTTTTCTGTTAGAACTCACAAAGAAGAAACAACAACAGTAAACTTATGAAATGAAAAGAAAAGTTTAGCCGGAAGCTATTTAGGTCTACCAAGACTCCAAGATTGTAGGCTGCTAATACTATATAGAAAAATATAAGAAAAAGAAATGAAATTGCTAGAATTGACTGTAGATAATGTACCATTGGACTCCTTAGCATGATATAAATATAGTTCGATAGGAAAAAAAGAACACGAAATAACAAAAATCTAGAGTAAGGCAAGACTCCTATTCATCTAGCAGATTTACGTAACTATTTGAGCTAGGTTTTCTAGGTTTAAGTTAGGCTCGAAATCCCTAATGTTGAGCCACCAAGGTTGGGCCACTCATGTGGTAACTTCACACTCTTAAATGTCCAGACCTGGGTGTGCAGGGTGTTAGAATCAACATCAGTTAAGTGAATTGAATGTGATCTCCTTAAATGGTCTTGGGAAATATCCTCACTACTTGAGCAAGCTTTCCAGGTTGAATTAAGCACAAGGTCTAATTTGTGAACAAGAGGCTAGAAAAGTCATACAAGTCGAGCTGAAAATGAAGACCGGAAATATAGAAAAGGAGGACCGAGGGTGATGGGAAATCCACTGGCTCTAGTGAGTAAACAGCAGACAGTGATTAACAAAAATTTAAATGGCACTCTAGATAAAGCACTGGGTTCAAATTTTTTAAAAAAAAAAAATCATAAATTAGATGCCATAGCGACTGAGGTAAACTTAAATAAATCAAAATAAAAAAGATATTCACATGCAAATTGTACTTGCAGACTATAAATGAACTTCTATCATAATTGCCAGTTCACTCACCATATTGCTGTTGTTTGTTCAAGTACATTTCTGTGATCTCATTGTTTCGGAAATTCTGCTCTGAGGCTATCTTTCTGCAAACTTTAAGCTTCCAATTCTTGTTTCTTTTCTGTTCTTTTTCCTTATTATCCTGTCATATAGCACCACAGCCAGCGTTTAGTGAAGGATGAGACCAGAAGGAAAAAGGAATGCCCTGAATAAGAAGCTGCCTGACAGAATAACATATCATTTCAGTAAAAGATCAATGAAGCAGGTCGCTTCAGATGTACCAAATCACATGGGGCGCAATCACACTTGAAGCCCAACGGCTTCTGAATGCAACCCTTGTTGGCGGTGGAACTGCAGTATTGACAAGCGAACTTGAGGTGAGCTTTCTTGCTTCCGGGATGTCCACAGATCGAACAATGTGGAACTTTGGTTTTCCGAGGGCTCTCATCTGAACTGGGTATTAAACTACTGTCTAAGTTGACTTCGTGCTGGAAATCCTGTAGATCCCCTCCACCTATTTCCCTCAACCTGCATTAATGGGCAGTTAACTGTAATGGGTACTCATGAACCATTTTTCGTTGTATTCATAGCAACTACTAAAATTTGAAAATATCATCATTGACTTTCCCATGCCCCATAATCCACCTGCTCACTCAAATCAAGAGAAATACAAACCTATACAAAATCTCATCATCACTGAAAGATTTGACAAAACGAACTGCTGTTTCAATCCCGATCCCTGGTACACCAGTCAAGTTGTGGTCATTTCCCACCAAAAGCGAAATTGCTATCAACTGATTCCTTCTCAGCCCTAGACCAGACTCAATATCTGACATGTGATAGCACTCAAATGGTTCCTGCACCAAAAATAAGATGCATCTTTAGGCAAAGATTTAATTTAGACTCAATGTACAACAAGTGATATCAGTTGAATAGTCTGCATACAAAGTTGCAGGTACTTAATTACCACTAAAAGCATCATACTCTATCAATCACTAGATAAATAACTCTACTGGTCTTTCATACAATACAAAGTTCATGAAAAATCTTATCAAGGTTTATGCTAGCACATCCCTTTCTTGATAGCAAATATTAAGACAGAAAGCAATGGAAGGAAGGTGAAAAATTTAAAAGTAATAAAACTAAATATGAATTGAGAAACTAAAAGAATTACAAAAGCATACAACTAGAAGACTTCTCTCTTATATGAAGTGTTAGTGTGTTACTTATGACTTATCATAAATGGTTAAATATGACAAATATATTACAAATATTCACATTGAAAAACAAAAGAGCCTAAGGGTGTGTTTGGTATGAAGGAAAATGTTTTCCATGGAAAATATTTTCCTAGAAAATGTTTCCTGGAAAACAAGTAGATTTTTGACTTATTTTCTCATTTTTTGTTGGTGAGTAGAAAATATTTTTCGGAAATGATTTTTAGTGTTTGATTTATGAATGAAAAATGTTTTTGAGAGACATCTTTTATTTTTACTAGAGTAGAAAATAATTTATGAAATTGAAAATATTTTTTAAAAACGATTTTTATTTG